TGGAGAATTTTGGGAGCAACTGTTCATTCGTCACTAAGCTTGCTACGTCATTGAAAAATTTTAGTGTTCAGAAAATTGCTACTATTCGGAATCCGATTCAGCTATCATAACACTCCCTATATTAAAGTTCTTGTATATTTACAAAGGAATAGTATTGCTGAACGTCTTAACAACTGAGTTCTGATGCCTTTACATCTATACTTTTCAGTAATATCGACATGTGCAGTAGTAATAATAATTTAAATAAAATCTTGTCAGGAAGACATCAGATTTCCTGACAGGTAGTATGAGCGAAAATATCAATTAGAATACATGATTATATGAAGTTAGTGTCTAAAAAGGATTCAAGTTATTCAAGGTAACTTTATAAAACTTAGTTACGCATATTTGGTGTAATATCGTATGTAACGATAACAATTTTCAAGTCAAGAGCGAGGCCATTTCATCAACACAAAAAAAAGAGTCGTCAGCTCAACCACTTACCACCTCAGCCGGACGAAAATATCGTGGCGACACCATGACGCGAACAATACGGGTCTTTTTTTCAACGCCAACCTCTTCCAGACCAAATCCAATCCATCTAAGGAGGCAGAAATAATATATAAGAATCTCAGATAAACGTTCGTCTTGATAAATGGTACAAAGATCAGGCCTAATTAAATCTATTTATGCCTCATCTGCAGACACTTCACGTCTCAACAAGCATGTAGGAAGAGCATAGGATAGCCATACCGACTAAGATGCCTCATTATGTGCCGAGAAATAGGCTTCCCCTCCACTCGCTTTTTCAAACGAAATGAAGGTTATGCCAATATCAATCTAATCACGGATTCTTAGAAGCCAAACTTTTCCTAATGCCTACGTAGCACGTAGGGACATCAAATTTTCCAAAGTTTATCACCTTACACCAATACCAAGAAGGTACTGGCCAGGCGAGTCAACCATATTCGTGTTTTTGAATTATTTTGATTACGTGATGTTGTTCCAAAGTTGTGTATTATTGATATACCGAATTTGCCTAATGGAGCTAAGCACGTCCTTCAGCGCGCATTCCATGAGTTAGGTAATAGTATAGTTCAGGGAAACAAAAAATTGTATTCTTTGATAAAAAATAAAACCAAATTACACCAATCATTGGTTGATATTCTCAGCCCTGAGGAATTCGCTAAATTACAAACGATAACAGATAAACTATATTATAGAATTGTTAGCAGGTAGGATATAAAAATGATGAGAAGCCTACAACCTCAGGTACAAGAACCAAGACAAGATGTAATTACAACAAGGGTGGACATTAAAGAGCAAAGTACAGTGAGTGAGGTGGCAAACTTGTCCAAAACAGAATTGGACGTTACCACCTGTAAAGTTCTATCAAAAGATTTGAACATCGCTTTGACAACCAGTAAAGAGAATAGGATGGAAATACTGGAGGCACTCATAAATTTTACCGGCCATCTCCCAGAAGAGACTCTGAATGATATTTAATTACAAGTCGTTCCTTTAATTGAAAGCCATATAGAAGCGCCACCTAGAAATAGGATAGTGAATAACATCATGAGGAGCAAATGGTGTTGAGAGCAGACGAGGGACATAGATATGAATATGCGGAAAAGGGCTACAGGCTCATACATAAAAGGTTACCTGAACAAATATGAGCTGTAAAGGTTTATGGGTCAAAAAAATTGGAACTGGACGAGATATGGCTTGCACAGGATACCAGAGATTGGTATAATGCAAAGCGCTTAGCTGGATACAGAGGTTGAACCAGCAAGCAGAAACAAAACAACTAACCTCATGAATAGAAGGAATGAGTGTATAGAATGATTGTTGGATATAATTAGAAAAAGAAGGGGGACCAAGAAGTACCGCCGAAAAAAAACAAGAGGTCTGATTAGCCTCGAATCTGGTCTTCACTGTAACACCTCAAGAGGCTCACGAGCATCGCATGCATCAGCATTGCGGGATCTAAATGATAAGGGATTTAGGGGCAGATGCAGCTGTCCGGTTACAATTGAAGTTACTTCACATGCCATCCTCAGCTTTTCACTTTTAGCAAGCATCTAAGGAAGGCAAAGTATAGCCAATCAAATTATGTTAAATAGAAGTTGTTTGACCTTGTTTTCGCA